ACTGGGGGAGTGCACAGCCATTTCCAAGACGACCCCTGCAGGACTGACTTCCTTCTGGTTGGTCGCAGTTCTGGCCGTGATGTTACACCCAGGGTTTTTATATAAGTAGATAATAAAAGCATAATGTGCAAATAAACAGAAAGGTGGAAGACTGGTACCTTTGACTTGCACTGACCACCATGGGGAGTGCCGCTCAGCCAGAAGCCAGGCTCACAGCTGGCGAGCCTGGCAGTGTTGGCAGGAGCCTCTCCTGCCTCTGTTGCAGGTGGGTGGTAAGGAGCGAGGAGTCCCAGACTGCAAGAGGGATGTCCGCCTACTGGCTTAGGCCCTATCCCTAGGGGGAACAGGCCCAAGCTGGCAGGTGGACATCCCCCAAGGAGTCCTGGACTGCAAGAGGGCATAGGCCTGGCTGCTGGGACCCCCTCTCCAGTGCATGAATCTCATGTACCAGACCTCTAGTATTTGCATGTTAGCCTTTTATTTATATAGGATAAGGATATTCAAGAAAGCATAGTGGTTTACTTCAGCCAAGAGAACAAACAAAACAATAAGCAACAGATCTAAAATAAACTACACAAAGAACAGGAGACATTAGAGGCAAACCCTATAGGGCTGATGTGATCAAGAGCCACCACCCTGTTGACCTCACTTTCAAGCTTCTCCACGTGTGTGTGTCAGAGGCTGAACAACAGGATGAAAGCACTTTGTGCTTGACCCAGGCTGGACTTTCTATTTACTGATATTCTTTCTCTCTGCATCTGTTTTTTCCCCCATGTTTACACCTTCTATAAGTGGTTTCCTCTCATCTCCACAGAAAATACGATGACAAAAAAGTTTGAGTTAGAGTCAGAAGAAGAAAAGAGAAAATTAAGTGAATCCTACAGTGCTCTCTTTGAGAACTTCACTCAAGAGAAGGAGGTGAGTCAGTCCAAAGCACGTCGGTGGTGGAATGTGCAGTCTTGATGGGACATCCGGTTTCCAGGGGTGCCCTGGTAAGTAGATCAGCTTTCATCTTCCTGGGAATATTTCTCCTTCCCAAGCTTCCCTGGAGCATATGCAAGTGGACAGACAGTTTTGCTGTCCTTTATCTGTATAGCCATACCACAGGGTTATTGGAATGAAACTTGTCATTAACAAGAAGTATAGAATGTGAAACATGCAGAAGCTGAAATTCCCTATTTTGCCAAAATCCCAGTCTCTGAATATCCTTCTCACTCTTGACTATGACTGAATTGAAAGGGTATTGTTGCAAATTAAACTAAGCAAATGTGGTCATGTATGACTCTTAGTAAATGAGGGTAGCTAACTAAAAGTTAGAGGTTGTGAGGGTTAGCTGCTCCTGTAAGTCACTCCCCTACAACCTTGACACTGATACCAGGTTATAATGAAAGCAGGTCTCAGACCAAATTCTAACAAATACGTGGACATTCACTAAACAAACAGGCATTAGCCAGCAAGTCCAGGCAATTATATCACCAGTTCTCTGAGTTTGGGGGTGCATGATAGAGTCAACATGGGTATTTGCGATGGCATTATAGAAGTAGGCTTCTGTAAGGCTACTGTAACCCTGCAGTCAGCATCAGGCAATCAGAGCTCCCATCCCTAAGTGCACAAGCTACAGGCTTTGTTAGGTTTTTGTACCCATTTCATACAAAGTCCAAAGAATCTCTAATATTCCATTTTTAAGAGCCCATTTCTAACCATCATGTTAATTCAAAAGTCACTAATTTCACCAATAAAAACCCATGTATGACATTCACTATATTACTGAGCAAAACAATAATGAGGAGTTGGGAGATGCTCTGCAATAATGCTTCTGGGGTCTGGAGAGCTCGCATGTCTGAATGGTAGTTCAGTGGTAGTTCCTCTTAGTGGGGAGAGATTTGATTATCTGCATGTATTTCATCTTCCTCCAATGACGCCTATTATAAACCTACAAATGGGTGTTTTTTCTCTCTCTCATATATATAATTTATACTTAGCAAAATGCACAGATATTAAATGTATAATTTGATGAGTTTTGACAAATGTATATATCCATGTAACCAACACCCAAACCAAGATCTAGAACATTTCATCAACCCAGAAAGCACTCTAGTGTTCCTTTCCAGTAATCCCTCCCTCTGTCAAATTTGCCCCAAGACAACTACTCTTTTAATTCCTGCCACCATAGATTTTTTCTTATTTTTTAAACATATTTTATTGATTTTTTATAGAGAGCAAGAGAGAGGGATAGAGAGTTAGAAACATCGATGATAGAGAAACATCAATCAGCTGCCTCCTGCACACCTCCCACTGGGAATGTGCCCGTAACCAAGGTACATGCCCTTGACCAGAATCGAACCCGGGACCTTTCAGTCCGCAGGCTGACACTCCATCCACTGAACCAAACTCTTTAGTGCTTTTCTTATTTTTAAACTTCATGTAAATTGGATCATACAATATATGCTCTTTTGCATATAGCTTTTATTTTTCCTCAATGTAATGTCTATGAAATTTACTCATTTGGTGTTCATATCAGTTATGTTTTCCTTTTTTATTATCCAGTAATATTCATTTATAGGAATATCAGTTAATGCATTCACCATTTCCCAGTTTGGGGAGATTTTGGTGGTTTTTGTTTTTTGACTTTTACAAATAAAGTTTCTATAAATATCCTGTACAAATGCTTTTGTAGACATTTGCTTTCATTTCTGTTTGGCATACCTAGGAGTGCCATTCCTGAGATCGAGGGTGGATATAAGTTTAACTTCATGAGAAACTAGAGGCCCAGTGCATGAAATTCAGGGTCCCTAAAGGCTGCCGGCTGCCGGCCAGGGCCTCCCTTCCCCAGCTGCCAGCCACCAGCTGGGGCCTTCCTTCGCTCCGCGCTGCCCCCTGGTAGTCAGCGGACATCATAGTGAGCAATCGAACTCCCAGTCGAACTCCCAAGGGGACACTTTGCATATTAGGCTTTTATATATATAGACTAGAGGCCCGGTGCACAAAACTTTGTGCACTCGGCGGGGGAGGAGGGGTCCCCTCAGCCCGGCCTGTGCCCTCACATAGTCTGGGACCCCTCAGGGGATGACTACCTGCTGGCTTAGGCCCTCTCCCTGGGGGGTTGGGGCTAAGCTGGCAGTCAGACATCCCTCTGGCAGCCCTGGAGCCTCGGGGGATGTCCACTTGCCACCAGGGACCAGGCCTGCAGTCGGACATCCTTAGTGCTGCTGAGGAGCGGGAGAGGCTCCCCCCACCACCCCC